AGCTTCGCCCCGGCACCCGCTGGCAGTCTGCGCGGCTTGGTGCCGCCCCCGACCCTCCCTCGCTCGACGCCCAGCCCCGTGCTGGCTCTTCCCTCTCCCCTTTTTTTCGCCGTCATCGGTCCTGTCCTTCCCGTGCCTCATGCGTTCCTGTCCATCCCGCGCCGCTCTGTTTTTGGATCCGTATTGGTCCGCGTCAGTCCTGTCCCTTTCCCTCTCCGGCACACCCGGCGACAGGCCCCTGCCACAGTTTCTCGTGGGCCCGCGCCGGCGTATGTCGGTGGGACCGCTGTATCTTTTAAGGGTATAGGGATAAAAACAACAACACAGCCCCTTCTGTTCTGGGGGGCATCAGTCCGGTTGCTTATCACCGGCAAGCATGTGTTTTTTGAACAAGCAGAATGGTGGATTAGACAGAAAAAGAAAGTCAGCCCACCCTTGCGGCTTGAGCCGCCTAATGCAGCGGGGGGCCTGCTTCGGCTTAATAGGAAGTTCTATTGTTGATACTGTTCTGCAGTGATGTGAGCTGTACCGTACAAGTAGTCTCTCTTCCTCTCTTGAACATGCACTCTCTTCCTCTCTTGAACAAAATGTCATGACTTACTCTTCCCTTCTTTTTTATTTCAGATTAGAAATTCTAGAAGCGTAAGTTCATCTTGAAACTGAAGAAGAGGAGCTTCTTTCTGCATTTAGTACGATGCCAGGGGGGGTTTCATTTCTTTACTTAAGAAAAAGTAGTATTTTGAACTATTTTCTCATCATTATTTGTTTTCCCTTTGTTTGGTTGTCCATGTCATCCTTGTCTTATGACAATGATCATCTCCTGTCGTTTGTAATTTGCCGAATTGCAAATTTGCGAATAAAATTTTCCAACTTCTGACACGCGTCTCTTCTTTTGCATGTCGGCATTGGTTCAGGCCCTCGTCTCTTGATGCGGCTTTGTTTGCGCATCTGATTTTTCACCTACGAGCCCCCTTGGTAAGTGGAATTCGTCTTAGTTTGTGTATCTGATTTTTCAGTTAAGTTTTTTCACCTACGAGCCCCCACTTGCAATTATGCATAGAATGGGAAATAGTTTTAGAAAACGTTACAATCCTGGCCAATTCCGATGTTAAAATCCACAAGGAAAGACAATGCAATCCAATTGTAAAAGAAATGAAAGGACTTGAGAGGAGAGAGAGCCAAAGGAAAAAGCAGAAGATAGAAAGAAGAAGAAGATCTACACCAGCAAAAGACCAATGACAAATCCCCCTTCTCTTGCCAACCAATCTCCTCCTCCTAATCTCCCGATCTCTTATTCCAACAATAAATGATAAAAATAAAAATGAATGGCTGAACCAGAACCAATGTCCGAATCCCTCTCTTACTGCCAGCACAACAGGAGGTCCACCATAGCCATGACCTCCATCCATCTTCCTCCACCTCAGACAGGTACTGGCTATGGCGGACTACTACAGTCTTCCCCCGAACATTCACTATTTACAAATAGAACGCACGTGCGTTATGCTACGGATATAGGGCACCAAGTTTGGAAAATGGGGCCCCCAAAGAATTGAATATATGTCCTTACCTGTGTCCTTGGCACATCCGTTAAAGTTGGAAGGATACAGAGAAGATAAGCATGGTCCCTGCACAAGGATGACACACACAAAACGAGACATGGTTTAAATTAAAAAAAAAAAAAAAAAAAAAAAAAAAAAAAAAAACACACAAGGGTCTGACACCAGCCGCTCATAGCAGTCGATCTGTCAGCCCCGCCACCGGCTGTAGGTAGCATTCGAACTGTCGGCCCCGCTACCAGCCATAGGTAGCATTCGAACGGTGCAGCGTGGCGCGCGCCTTCGTCCGAAGTCGCCAACAATGCCAAGATCTGCACGCGCTGCCAAGATCAACCATCGCCATCAGCTGCCAAGATCCACCATCGCCATCGCCAAGATCCGCCACGTGCGCTATTTCCTCCTCGTCCTCCTCACACTACTAGTCCTCCTGCTGATCTTCTTCCCCTGTGCGATAGAGACGTTGGCACATGGTCGATCAGGTAGCAGCAGCTCAACTGGCGCAGGTGCGATCGAGTGCGTACTATCCGAATAGAACACCCTTCTGTTCAAATAGAACACACATGCGTACTAGTTGAATAGAACATCGTGTGTACTATTTGAATGTGCGTACTAGTTGGATTTCAGCGGGCAACTCTGATAAGTGAGTTTTGTTCGGGGGAACACTGCGGGGGCCCTGCACAATGTTCAAAGACAATGCGAAAGCAGCTATGTCCTCTACTCCTCAGGCCGACATGCCTGACTCTGCCCTGAAGCCTTCTTGATTCAGTGCTACCCCACTTGGGGCCTTCCGGATGCAGTGCCCACCAAGGAGATGAAGATGGCGTCCACCATAGCCAGGTAAGTACATGTGGCCACTCTCCTCCCTAGTCCCCTTCTTCCTCCTCCTCCTACCTGGACCAGTCCACCGTAGCCAAGGTGGATGGCCAGGCGCCCCTGCTCCCAGCACTCACACTAGCGCTCTACCACCAGGCGCTCCAGCAGCATGGCGCCTAAACTTGCACCCAGCAAATGAGGAGGAGCAACTTGCTCATCCGGGAGACGTAGCGGCCAACCAGCCTCACGGCCGGTGACTTCCAGGCCGTGCGGCTTCCAAGCAACTGGTATCTCCTCCCTTCGGGAGGGAATCATCATTGCAGGTCTGATATCAGCTGCTACAGGCCGTAGACTTAGACTTGCAGGACTGGTACCTAGACCTAGGCCTACCAGACTCTCCACACAACATGCACAATGAAAGCTCACACGACGATTCACACCAAAACCAGAGATGGGCACCAAATCAGCACAGCTCAGAAACTTCAACGAGTACTCATATTATACGAATACAGAGTTCAGATAGCCAGCGCTCATCAGCACATGCAACAACAACCTCAATCAGGTGTGTACCCCAAGTATCCTCCCCTGCAGCTCTCTTTCTCTCTCTCTCTCTAATACATGCTCAATCGAACGATGTATATGGAGCCAAGGATCCGCAAAGTGATGAAAAGGACTCAAATGGACAATTCAGCGTCAGCAAAGCATCAACAAGCAATGTACATCCAGATACATACGAAAATAGCACAATGTAGCGCAGCGGAAGACCCAACTGACACGACACCCCATCATACACCACACATGTGAGAGATAGGGGAGGGACCGCACACATGGAAGAAAGGTCCCTCCTTGAGTGCACACGGGGAGATACCGCTGATGAGGAGATGGGGAGAGGCGAGATGAAGATGCAGATGAGGGCGAAGATCAAGATCGCGATAGCGAAGTCGAAAAATAATATCCCTGCTGAATGTCCAATCAATGTCTGCCACAAAAATGCCAAGACAGATCCCGGGCCTCATGGCCTGATGTAACCTCTGCCTCTAAACCTTCTCTCTCTCTGAAAGAAGAAGAACAAGAAGAGGGAGAGAAGAAGAAGCAGCGGAATTGGAGGGCAAGGAAGAAAAAGGTGTCGCCCTCCTCGCTGTCTCACCTGCAGGTAACTGCCTCAAGGTACTGCTGGCGCCGGATGCAGGTCGCTGGTACGAAGTCCGGCTATGGCACCCAGGTAAGTGCCGCGCTGCAGATATGGCCACTGCCTCTCTCTCTCCCTACCCACACCTCAGTGCTGTGTCGCGCTTCTCCAGCAGCGTGTCGCCCAAGAAGTGAGGTACTCGAACTGTGTGTCTGCCCTGGCCTGGCCCAGCTATAAGTAGCGCTGGGCCTCACGTTCTTGGCCTGAAACGGCCTGCCTGGGTACCTACCGGACGTCCAGGCGCTCCCTGCTGATGCAGCAGGGAGTGTCCGCTACTGGACGAACACGAACCTGACCTGAAAGGGCCTGATTTCGAACGAAGGCGGCCCAAAACGTGTCCTTTGTCTGAGCAGACCAAAAGTCTGTTCAGACGAACTGCAAGTCCAAAAGGACTCCTGAACAGACAAAAATAGGACAGCAAACAGGGTTGCACCCCCCGACGGTTGGCGGCCCTTGACTGGTCTGCTTCCGACCCGCGGACCGATCGGCTGGTCGGCACCTACCGGTCGGGGGTCGTTTTTTGGGGGGTCCAAAATCCTTAATAACACCGCCAACACCCCCATAGCGGCTCCCAATACCCCCATGCACCCCCCCAACACCCCCAAACCGCCCCCAACACCCTCATTACCCCCCCAATACCCCCTATATCACCTCTATACCCCCCTATACCCCCCCAATACTCCAACCCCAACCCCCCCATCCCCAAAAGTTTCTCAGCGGATTTGGGCTGTACTCAACAAGCGCAGTACAGCCCCCAACTCAGATTTGAAAAAAAAAATCAGTGGTTGGTTGTTTTCTTTTTTTTTCTGACTGGTCGGCAGACCGCCGACCGGTCGGCCATACTGGTCCGCTGCAATACGGTCGGCTGTCGGGGTCGACGGTCGGCAGGGATGCAACCGTGACATCGAATAAATAAGTAAATGAATAAATGAATGCTGCCTCAAATCAAATCCTGCGGCCCCAAGGCCGGCCGGGGGCCTCCAGAGTGCATGCCTGAAGGGCGTGCGGCTTGGGGGCTCCCAGCAACCGTCGGGCCCCCAAAATGGGGCCTGTGTGCAAGCTCAGCATGTAACACCCCCCCTCCTTATGAAGTCAATCTGGGTCGAGGGCGAAGCTGACGATCCAATGGTGGAACCTGGATGCGAGTACGGCGTGGAACCGAAGGTGCCGACTTGCCTTATTGTTTGCGTTCGTAACGTGCAAGGACATGGGGGGCTGTAGCCTGAAGTTCCACACGGGTCAGCCAACGGTCAGCCTTATGGCTACTGTAGGAAAAGTGTACTATGTACTATGTCGGCTTGGTGTCGTAGCGCCGCTGCGAAATGATGTTGCTAAGCTCCTGAAAATCGTCCATGGAGGGTGGGTCTTGCGATCGTTGCCAGGGAAAGTCATTGCATTCTGCTGAAACAAAAAGACCCAACTTCGAACAATGAAAGACCAGGTGGACGGGTAAGTGAGCGGGCACCTAAATGACAAATGAAGGTCCTTCGGGTGCGTCACCAGCGGTGCGCCAAGGCCCCATCCATTTCGGAAGGAGCTTGCGAGAGATATCTTGTTCGAGGCTGAGTTCCACGGCGGAGACCCAAACAAGGTCGCCTGCGCGGAACGGACAAGGAAGACGCTGGCGATTGGCCTAACGGCTCATGCGTTGCTGCGTCGTTGACATCTGGTCACATGCCTTGACAAGGAGCTCTTGCATCCGTCGAATGAAGACAAGGTGGTCGTCGCTCTCAGTCGTCCATGGGACGATGGTGTCCAACGGCCATGTGACCGGCGAGCCATGCTCGAACTCGAAGGGCGACATCCCGATAGCCGGACGAATGGATGAGTTATAAGCCAACTCGACATCCGGCAGCCGCTCAACCCATTCCTTTTGGTCGGGGCGAATGAGAGTGCGAAGAAGAAACTGTGCGGTTTGATGCACGCTCTCCATCTGGCCATCGGTTTGCGGGTGGTCAACCAAACTCGGCTTGAGAGATGAGCCCCATCGTTTGATGAGAGCCAACCAGAAGTCGGACATGAACCGAGTGTCGTGGTCGCAAACGATCTGCTTGGGGTAACCCTTGGTACGGATCCGACCGGCGACCGACATAAAGAACCTCGGCGAATTCCTTTGCCTTGGCGTGATAGCGACAAGGCAAAAACATGGCGAACTTGGTGAGTCGGTCTACCACCGTGATAACCCATCCATACAGGTCTTGTGTTTGGGAAATGGCCTGGTGATGTCCATGGCAATCAATTCCCATCGTCCTAAAGGGACCGGTAATGGTCGCAACTCGCCGAACGGACGATGGTTGTGGTATATGCAACGCCGACAAACCTTGCATGACTCGCAACAACGTGTGACGTCGCCGAGAAGGCCGGGCCACCAAAAGCGCTCGTGAAGTCGGCCAATGGTACGATTGACTCCAACGTGT